ACACACACACACACACACACACACACACACACACACACACACACACACACAGGAGAGGTTGTAATAAATGCTACTGCTCTGCATCGAAACAAAATAGCAACTGAATGATATCAAAATCAGAAAAATTCTAAAGAGAGAGATAGACAGAACGAAAAAGAGAAATCTTACTATTGAACGAACGAAAGAGAAAAATCCAATTAACTACAGAACGAAAAGGAAGACGCCTATAAATGAGAAAATAAGAAGAAACCAATTGAACTTCGTTCAATTAAGTTAGCGTCGACTTAGTGTCATCTGTTGACGCTAATAATTTGCATTTGCCATATTTAATGATGATGAATTAGAAAGTATTGGTGGACGTAATTGAGATGTAGCATTAGAATTTATGTGATTTGATGATTGATTATGAAACGTTATTGGACATAATAATGATGCAGCACCAGAATTTACTTGATGTGATGATGATGGATTGGAAAATGTTGTTGGACATAATAATGATATATCCATGTAACCATGAAACGCTTTTTTCGGCGCGTTTAAACACGTCTCAAAATTGAAACTTCCTTCAAACGCACTGGAATGCGTTCACCATATGGATATTTGAACACGTTTCAAAGTTTTGGATGTGTTTACACGCGTTTCAACGCGATTAATTTTACTTTTGCGTTTGAATGCGCTTAGTTTGTATGCAATCGATTCTTTTAAGTTTCAGTAACGCGTGTAAATGCGGGTTTTTTGTTTTGTATAAATAAGATGCATGTAAACGCGTCTCTAGCTATGAGTGCACCGCGTTTCATCAAGAATGAAAACTCATTCATCAAAATATAGGTGAGCAGGTATGGAACAGTAAACTAAACTACTCATTTTTCATTCAAAAAAAAAATGAAAACTATATATCAAATCATTATGACGATGTATTAAAGTTTTATTGGATTTCCAATTCTTAATACGACTATTGTTAATAATCTGCAACTTAAAATGTCAATGACTAGCATTGCATCAAAGATAGAAGATAAGAATAAATAAGTGCAAACCAAAAATTTCATCATGTTTGTATTCGTCATGCAATTTCATGAAGACCTAGTAGCCTGTGAAGTAGAAATGGATGAGAACGCGTATCAAGTTTGGCACTTACAGGTCATTCATTGGAAAACAGTATTAAAACAACATTATTTCCTGATGTGTCACCAGCAGTGTTTTTCACAAAATCAACTTTGCTCTGGTATAACATATACGTTAAACGTAGCATTTTAAATTTCAAAGAAAAAAACTTAATCCCTTGGAGATGGGATTACTTTTGAGAAAATGAAACTCGACGAAGCTGCTAGATAAGATTTTCATGGAGTGTGTAGATTATTCTTTCAGAAAGAGAAAAGAAATATTTGCGGGAGTGCGCGTAACCAAAGCCCATAACCAGTATTCTGAAAGACACCAGAAAAATATCATTAAAAATATTCATAAGTCAGTTTAAAAGTGATTTAGAACCAAACCACATATATTTGATTCTCATCTTTGAGGAATTAAAAGTTAAGCAGAAACGTTTACTTTAATTGAAAGATGAGGTTCAATGTTAGTTCTCACGTAAACTTATTAGGAGCACAACTAGATGACAAATTGTAGAAACGAAAGACTCGAAATGTAGCTCAAACCCGATGACACAGTTGTTTACAAACACAACTTGAAATAGAATTATGCCTGAATGCCACTAAAAGCAACTTTAAATAGCATCTGAATGCAGTCAGAATGCAAAACGCGCATCCATGCACTATTGCTACTGTGCGTTGTAATGTGCTCATGTGCACTAAATATTTTATCTGGGTTGCTTATGAACGCACTTATCATATATATGATATTTATGTGTTAACGTCTAATTTTTTTGTTTTGTTTCTTAATATTAAAATTTTTGGACTAAAGAATGAAACGTGTTAGACGAAACAAAATGCATATAATCGTATACAAAAAAACCTCGATTCTTTAAATGCATTTACTCCAATTTCAATTGATTTTCTAGAAAGATTCTATGCAATTTATTTGCACCTTAGTATCATTAAATATTTCATTCACAGTAAAAAGAAAAAAACCAATCAATCACTTAGCTTGAACTTAAAATTTAAATTTAAATATTTTTGTACTTTAAATAGAAAAAAAATTAATACAGGTGACATAAGTATCTCTTTCGTATTGATGCTTTAGTCGACCTCATTTTCGAAAAGGTTTAATAATGCGCAAACGAGCTACTGTAATCTTAACACTCTTGCTGTTGATTTCATCACCTTGTTCCTGTATGCAAAAGTAATTTCTGTGAATGTTACTTCCATTTTCAACTATTTGGTTTTATCTAAACTTCGACAAAGTAATTTTTTCAAAGGTAATGTTAGTTTGCCTTTATTCTTCTTCATTATAAAGAATGAGTTAATATGAAACTTTTACGTTTTATGAGATTAGGATAAATAAATAAAGAAAATCTTCATTATCTTTAAAAATAAAGGTGAGTAATTTCTTTAGTTGAAAGAAAACATAAATGAATACTTAATTTACAAATAAAATAAGCGAAGTCAAAGAATAACTTGTTCTATGAAGACCTAATCTTATTTTTTTTGTCAAAACTTCTACAAAAATTGTAATGCCATAGTTACAAATATGTAGATATAGATAAGACTTTTCTATATATTTTCATACAGCGTTCTCAACTTTAAATAACAATATATATTCTATTATTAACAAAATAAAGATTATTTATTTTGTTATGAAGCAAATTTTTTTTATTTATCAAAAAGAGGTGTTGATTTATTCTTTAATTTTTCTTCGTCTTTTAGATAATGAAATTTTTTATTTCTTTTTATTTGTTGTTTATAAATATGAGAAATTCGTTTATTTTTATTATATTAAAAAGCCTTATTGATATTCATATACAAAGTGATAATAATCAACATTATTTTTAGAATTTTCTTATAAGTGCTTCAAAAATTGTTAGTCATTCGGTTTATGAACATGTAACTAACTTCGAGCTGTAAATAACTCAGAGTTACTTGTGTTCGGCTCGTAATTGATGGTCGTGTGTTCAAATCTTGGTTTAAACTGCTGTTGGAAAAATTCCACTCTGTTGTTCACGGTATGAAAGTGTTATATCATAGTTACCTATGATGAGTCGGTTCGAATCCGACACAGAGTGATGGTTATTTTTTCAAATTTTTTTGAGAAAAAAAGTGAACGCATCCAGACGCGCTTAGCTCTCTGGACGCGTTCTCACGCTTGAAAATGTTGCATTTTGGACGCCTACAAACGCGTCAAGTTCTATTCCATTCAACGCTCAGATACGCGTCCCAGAACCTAAAAATGGTTACATGGGATATAGTACCTAAGTTAGCTTGATTTGAATATAATGAATTGTAATACATCGGTGGACAAAATGACGATATAGCATTAAAATTTGCTTGATTTGATGGTGGATTATAATACATTGTTGGATAAGACAAGCAGCTAGCACCATAGTTTTGTTGAATTGATGATAATGGATTATAATACATCATCGGATATATTGGTGATACAGCATGACAATTTATTGGATTCGGTGATAATGTATGATGAAAATTGGATTGATGAGACGATGATCTATAATGTACATTCGATGGTAATTCATCTTCACCTTCATCTTCATGTTTGTCTTTGTCTTCGTCTTCATGTTCATATTTATCTTCATTTTTGCGTTACTTTTCGTCCTTTATCATTTCATCTTTTTTTAAACCATCGTAGACGACAAGCTTTCCAACATAGTCACGAATTGTACAACCTATTTCACTGATGTCGGATAAATTTCTAAAAAAGCTATCCGATTTAACTGATGTTAAATTATTGATCATCTGATCCTTCAGATGATAAAAATTCATTGTATACTCTTGTTAATTGAAATTCTTGTTCTTGACACTGCAACAAAAAAAAAAGTAATTGATTTAATTTTATCTTATAGACTTACAGTAAGAGTAAGTGTGTATGTTGTTTTCAAGAAAAAATGTTTAGCTTGTATGATTGTATCTTCTCTAATATAATCATTTATTATTGTATGATCATTTCGTTGAAACTTCAAAATTTCATCAGGCTATTTAGGAAAACAAAACTAAATGATGTATAGCGAAAAAAACCTTATTTCTCACAATATCATCAAAAATTGTTTGAAAACCTTCGTGTAAGAAATCTTTTTGCAAATGAAATTTTTTCTGTTGATGTTGAAAATCGAAGACATTTTTTCCAATTATCATATTGAATAGAATTAAATAATGGTTCAGGTAATGTACGTAAAAAATGCTAAAAATAAAATATCAAGCAAGATTCAATACGTGAAACATGCAGGAATAAATGCAAATTAATCTTTTCTTTTTGTTTTTCTTTTCCTACCTTCTATTTGCCTAGAGATAATTTAAATATTATGTAATCAATTCTTTAGTTAGATTAACCTCCTTTCTCACCCGATTACTTATCTAATCATTAGAATTGTTCTGAAAAATCGAATCTAGGGATGCAACGGTCTTACTTATCAAGTCTCGAAATGGGTCACCGGATCCGACGATTTGATCCTTTTTTGACATAACTTTTTCTCAGATTTGACTCACCCCTAAGGGGAAAGCTTCTTCACGCTACCCTCCCTTGGTCATTACTTTTTATAAAATCCGAAAAATATGGAATAGCTATCTATTGAGAAAAAAAAATCTTTGTACACGAAGTTTCTTTTGGGTCCGGGTCGGACCATAAAAAAGTGGTCCAATTTCGAGGCCTACTTACAGCTTTGTACTGGTCTTAACACGTACGTATAGGCTAATAGTGAAGGCTTAAAATTGATTTTGATTTTCTCGGTCACGAGAGGTCTATTCCAATAAAATAGCTGAAATTTATAAAACACCGTGAGTACTAACAAGGTAAGGATCCCAACTTACGGACGCCGTTCGACTCCATATTATGGCTATGATGTAGGTCTCTATGAGACGAAGAAAAGACTAAAAGCATTTAGGCTCATGGTCTATTGATGAAGTGTTATGACCGTTTTACTCTGAATTTTAGACCTGTGGGAAGAGATTTCTAAAACAATCGAATTAAAGAATTTCGTCTATAGATAGGTCTAATGGTTCTTAAAATCGCTTGAAAGTTTCAGCCAAAATGAATGTTTCTCTCTTGAGAGCGACCTATCTCTGAAAAGTAAAATTCAATATCTCGAGAAAGGAACATTTGTTTTAGTTGAAACATTCAAGCGATTCTAAGAACCATTAGATCTATCTATGGGCGAAATTCTTTAATTCGATTGTTTCAGAAATTTCTTGCCACAGACCCAAAATTCAGTAAAATAGTCATAAATCTTCATCGATAGGCCATGATCCTGAATCCTTATAGTCTTTTCTTCGCCTGATAGAGAACTATCTCGTAGTATGCAGTCGAACGGTGTCCATAAGTTGGAGACCTTCCCTGGTAAACCTTTCTTGAACAAGAATTTCGACTAACTTCCTACAGATTCGAATTCTTGAGACCCAAAAACCTTTAGTCTATTTTTATAAAATTCATCTATTTTCTTGACATGGTCTTCTTCACCTAAAAAATTGAAATTCATCCAAAACAATCATAGTTTTATCATGCATTCCCCTTTAGGCTATGCGTACATGTTTAGGGTGTGGGTGTGGGTGTGGGTGGGTGTGTGGGTGTGGGTGGGTGTGGGTGTGAGTGTGTGGGTGTGTGGGTGTGGATGTGGGGTGTGGGTGTGGATGTGAGTGTGAGTGTGGGTGTGGGTGTGGGTGTGAGTATGGGTGTGGGTGCTAATCACCTTCTCAGCAACATCCACACCCATACCCACCCACACTCACACCCACACCCACACCCACACCCACACACCCACACTCACACCCACACCCACACCCACACACCCACACACCCACACCCACCAATACCCACACTCACACTCACATCCACACCCACACCCCACACCCACACACCCACACCCACCCACACCCACACACCCACACCCACACCCACCCACACACTCAAAATTGATTTAAATGTATTCAGCCGATTGAGCTATACATATTCCACATTTTTTATTGACTTATTTTACTTCTGATGATCTCTACATGAATCTAGTTAAAATCATTCATCATGTACAAATCGACAGTATTTTCGATCAAATCAAACCGAAATCAGTTTTTCTATTTGTTCACACCATATTAGAAGTAGTTCGTCAAAGCATAATTCAACGGGAGAAATCGACATTCTCATTTTTAGATCAAATTTTGGAATTTTTTTTACAAAGTATAATGATGAAGCTTCACCTCTATTCTACTTAATGAAAACATTGGAATCTTTACTTATTGGAAGTACACAAAATTTTCTATTTAATCTCGATCAATTTCGACTCAATACAGTTACTTTTGAACTTTGTGAACAATTGAAAGAAAAAATATCCAAACTCTTTAGAGAATTAAATGAAGATTGGCTACACTCTAAAAAATTTCCGTATCCTAGGAAACCGAAAGGGATTCGGAAACCCAATCAGAAATCCTTTTCCGTTTCCGAGAGGGTTTCTGAAGATTGAAAGCGTTTCTGAAAATACTCTTTGGGTTTCCGAACCTTCAGAAACCCTTGGGTTTCCGACAATACTCAATTGAATACTCTAAAAAGTATTCTAGAATACCTTTTTCTTGCTTTCGGAAACCCAATAGGTTTCTCGAAAATCGGAAAGGTATTCTAGAAAACCCATATTACTAGTAAGGATGGGCGATTCCGAATCGGAATCGGAATCGGGATCGGCGATTCCGATCCCGATTCCGATTCGAAAAAAAATTATCTTTGCCGATTCCGATACGATTCTTAAAAAAGTTAAGCCGGTTCCGATCCAGTTCCAGTTCCAAGTTACAAAAATATTGGAATCGGAAATATTTTCATGAAAAACAAAATTTATCTTTATTTCCCACCAATGAACAAAATTAATAGTTCAAAATTTTCTTTAAAAAGTATTTTAAAAAAACCATTTTTTCTTAAGAAGAGATACCTTGCAATCAAAGAATGCATACAGCATGCCTGAAAAGTCATTTATCAGAAAGACACTTACATATCTCTATTATGGTTTTATTGGATAAATTAATTTCTCTACTCAAAGTGCAAGATTCTTTTAAGTTTTTATTCCTAATTACAAAGCTGTCAAGCGCTCCTATAGAGTGGTATTCTTAAAGTTTTTTGCTTCAGATTGCAAAAAGTAGCATGTAGGACTTTTTCTTGTGCTCCTTGAATTGCGTTTCATTATATTGAGTCTTTAATAATCCACGCCCATTTCTTGTAAAGATTTCTTCAACATGTCTGAAAAACCAAGAATAAATGGCATCTTTCTTCAAAACAATTTGCTTGTCTTTTAGCAAACACTTTCATGAAAAGAAAACTAAGTTAAAAGACGTGGCTTCGAATTTTTGCGGACACTAGACATGAAATCAATGTTTCTTGTTTCTTAAAAACGTGTAAAAGACGCTCATAAAGCAACAAAGTAGGCCTGGGTGACTAGAAGCTCACAGTAATAAAATAAATTGTACAAATTCATAAGAAAACCCTACATACTATTTTTTCAGATTCGAAAAAGGGCTTTAAAAGTGCTTCTTTGTAGCAGTATTTGGGAACTTCATGTTTATAAACAAAAACTTGGAAGCGCCCTCTACTACGAATGCAAACACTAATTCCTGCAACAGAACCATAATAGAAACATATAATTGCCTTTTGCGTCAACGAATTTTCGAGCAGCCTAGATTCCGGATAGACGATTCCGGTATCGGAATCGGAATCGGAATCGGCAACTCCGATTCCGATTCCGATCCGAAAAAAAGTTTTCCTTGCCGATTCCGATACGATTCCTAAATTGTTGAAGCCGATTCCGATACGGTTCCAGTTCCAAAAAAAGTCGATTTTGCCCATGCCTAATTACTAGTGAAGCTGGATTGGCACCCGAAAGGGTATGCAAAAATACCTTTTCATTTCCGAAATGGTTTCCGAAAAAACCCAATGTGAAAAAGGGTATCATAGGATACCGAGATGGATTTGCGAAAAGACCCAATCTGAGAAAGAGTATAATAGAATACCAAGATAGGTTTGCGAAAATACCCAATCTAAAAATAGAATCCTAGGACACCAAAATAGGTTTCCGAATTTTGTTTTAATAGTTAAAAGAGTTTCTAAGGATTTCAACTTTTCTTACACCTTCATCAGTTGTGTGTTTGACATTCCAAAAACTTTGCAAAAGGGTAGATATGGATTTGAACCTTATTTTTCCATATTCTGTTTCATGCTCAGCTTTGAAGATTTTTATGAAACAGCAAAACACCGATCTAATTAATAATTTCATATTGAATTAATCAAAACTGTTCTTGTGCGAACAGTTCCACGAAATGTGAAACCAGATCATGCTTCAGAAATAATGGAATGTTATTTGTACATTTTACTGTTGATCTTATTCTTCAGAATATACAAGAGAATACAATATTAACAAATCGGAAACAAAATAAATAAATTAGACAATTACCATACGTCTTTTTCTTCCTTTTTTGGTTGAGTTTTGCTAAAGTAAGAAATAAATTGTAGCTATCGTGGATGTCAAAAATTACAGGAAAAATCAATTGCAGAAGTTTCTAGCCTTAAATAAGAATTAAAGTTAGTTTATTTCTAAAGATTAGAGGCTTTCAAATCAAACGGAAAACTGCACCTTAAGCCCACATGTTAAAAGATTAATGTCATTTATAAGGCATAAGAATAATATGTTTTCATATACCTTTCACAAAAATATAAATCATGGATCTAATACTGTTGTCTTGTCTTCAGTCACCTTCTAGCTTTGTCCTATAATCGA